TGAGTTCTCTTATGGTTTGGATGTGAAGTGTTTCCCAGAAGCTCTCATGTGAGACAATGCAAGGAGGTTTCAGAAGAGAAATAACTGGGTTGAGAGTCTTAACCCAATCAGTGAATGAATCCCCTGATAGGGATTAACTGAGTGGTAACTGAAGGTGGGTAGGGTGTGGCTAGAGGAGGTGGGCATTGGGGGCGTGGCTTTGGGGTATATATTTTGTATCTGGAGAGTGGGGTCTCCCTTTGCTTCCTGATCATCATGTGAGCCGCTTCCCCCTGCCACACATCCACCATGATGTTCTGCCTCACCTGGAGCCCTGAGGAACAGAGCCAACTATCTATGGAGTGAGACCTCTGAAACCATGAGCCCCCAAGTAAACTTTTCCCTCTCTGCAACTGTTCTGATCAGATCTTTTAGTTGAGCAGCAAAAAAGCTGATTAACACAAGTTCTAACTCACAGGGTTATGAGGAATCCATGAAACTCTGTGTGTGTGTGTGTGTGTGTAGACCAACACAGTGTGGGGGGGGGGAGGGGAAGACCAACAGTGCCAGAACCCAACAGGTTCTTGATGGCCTGGGATGAGACGGGATGGTGGTTACAGGTGATGGCAATGATACTGTTCCAGCCACAAATGGTAGGGAGGTGAGAGAAAGACTGAGATGTGTGTAGATCGTAAATGGTGGTTTGTTTAAAATCTGTTTTCTGGCTGACACTTCTGATAATTCAAGTCTTCAAGCTAGAAGAGGCTCTGAAATTAAAATAGGCCAGGACAGTGAGGGGACTAGAAAGTGTCCCCTGAGAAAAGAGAAAGGGAGCTAGAGCCACGCAGGCAGCGGAAGAGGCCGTGTGGGGGTGGAGGTGAGGGACATGACTCCTGCCTCCAGGTGTCTAGACAGATGGGAGCCAACCTGTGAGCCACATGAGAACACATCCAGGGCAATGGAAGCTACAGGGAAGCCCATTTGTTCCCTGTCCAAGGCTGTTCAGCAGAACAGACTAAAACTCAATACTGAATTTCACTGTATCTGTCCCCTGGGGAAGGGAGTTCACTTTCTTAGTCAACAAAGGCAACCCGTTGGCCATCCCCACTTGGTTGTTCACTAAGGTTCTTAACTTAATAAGTCTTAAACAGAATGCTCACCATCCCTCGTCAAACCTGAACGCCCTTGTTGATGACATGCTGTCACTGTCCACGACACCCACACACAGGAGGCAGTATCATTTTCTTTCTTTACTTTATCTGATACCCTTCCCATCTAATCCATTAGCAAGTTCTGTAGATCCATGTCCAACCATGTCTTACATCCACCAACTTCTTTACACCTCTGCAGCCCCAGTATATTCCACTACCCTCCAAACATCCAGCTTACTTGCCCAGTGCAACGGCACATGCCAGTAATGATTCTCAGCGACTCTGGAGGCTGAGGCAGGAGGATCTGACACTTGAGGCCAGCCTCAGCAACTTAGGGAGATCCTGTTTCAAAATTAAAAAAAAAAAAAAAGGGTTGAGGATGTGGTTTAGTGATACAACTCCTGGGGTCAATCCCTAGACTCAAAAAAAAAAAAAAAAGGACCAGTTAACTTGCCCCCTTGCTTATTACCCTCCACTCTTTAGTCCGTTTTCTACAGGGAAGCCAAGGTGTCTCTAAATCCAATCTTGAATCCAATCATGTTTCTTTTCTTTTTAAGACCTTCAACTGGCTTGCTTTCTGAGTATTTTAACATGGGGGCATACAGAAAATTTCCCTTATTTATGTTTTTTTTTTTAAGAGAGAGAGAGAGAATTTTAATATTTATTTCTTAGTTTTCGGCGGACACAACATCTTTGTTTGTATGTGGTGCTGAGGATCGAACCTGGGCCGCATGCATGCCAGGCGAGCGCACTACCGCTTGAGCCACATCCCCAGCCCCCCTTATTTATGTTTTAAGACCATGTTAATAGGTGACTACAAATTTAGAAATGCTACATCTTAAGAAATGCTATATCTTAACAACTAGAACATCTATTATTATGACCTGCTTTGTCTCGTGTGTGTGTGTGTGTGTGTGTGTATTTAACATATTAAAGTTCTTTCTTTTTGATAATTAGCTATAAAAATATTCATTTGTCTAACGGTTAATGTCTATGTGGTACATTATTTCACATCTTTTTTTCTTTCTTTCCTTCTTTTTTCTTTCTTTCTTTCTTTTTTTTGGTACTGAGGATTGAACCTGGGGTGCTTAACCACTGAAGTACATCCACAGCCTGTTTTATTTTTGAGTTTGAGACAGGGTCTCGCTAAGTTACTTAGTCTTGCCAAGTTACTGAGGCTGACCTCAAGCTTACAAATCCTCCTGGGCTGGGAATGTAGATCAATGGCAGAGTGCTTGCCTAACATGTGTGTAGGCCCAGGATTCGAGTCCCAGCACCACAAAAAACAAAGCAAAACCTACAATTCTCCTGCCTCACCCTCCCAAGCTGCTGGGATTACAGGCATGGGCCACCACACCTGGATCTATTTCACATCCTTTTAACTTTTGCCATTCCTTGTTTTATCTGTCTTTTAACTTTATTTATTTATCACAGTACTGGAGATTTAACCCAGGTGCACTCTACCATGGAGCTCTATCCCCAGCCCTTTTTGTTTTTATTTTGAGACAGGGTCTTGCTGAGTTGTCCAGGCTGGGTTCAAACTTGCAATCCTCCTGCCTCAATCTCCCAAGTAGTTGAGATTACAGGAGTGCGCCACTGCACCTGGCTTTTTTTTTTTTTCTTGGACAGTAATTGCCTCTAGTACATTTAAGCTATGGTCCACCTGTCTGCTGGCTTTTGTTTTTGCTGTTGAGGAATCAGGTATACTCCAATTCTGTGAATCTGTCAGGTTTCGTGTTGCTCATGTAACATCCTAAATTTCCTTGGTTTGGAACAACTGTTTGTCTCAGGCCCACTTTTCATGTCTTGTGCCGGTGGCTGCGGCTCCTACCTGGGACAGTCTCCGGGCAGAAGGGAAAAAGGAGCTGTGACGATTCTTAAAGCTTTTGGCAGCAGACATCACTTACCCTCACATGTCATTAGCCAAGCCTGATGTCAGCAGAGTGGGATCAGGTTTTGCAGATCTATGTCCCATAGGCATTGACACCAAATAATTGAGAACAATAATACGACCTACCACACTACGGTCCTTTGAAGAGTTCTGTATCATTTTTTACAGAACTCGGGAACTTATGAACCATTTTTAGTTTTTTCAAACAAAAGGGATATCCACATGGTGGGTTGTTTACCCGGATGCTAGAAGGCTGAAAAATACAGAGAGGGTGCTGAAGTTACCCATATATTAGTAATTACAGGAAGCAGCTGCCACCCCTAGGCTTGGGAGGATGAAAGGGAAGAACTAAGGCTAACAGGACCTAAGATCTTGGAGGAGGACCCCAGCTGGGGCTGGACCATAAGCGAGTCCCTACCAGCGTGGAAAACCTTGTCAGGCTGGTGCTGGGAGGACTGAAAGAAGCTGGAGACTCTTGAAGTGAAGCCAACAGGATGTAGAGACAGGAAGGAATCCCTTTCTCCTGCCAGTTGATCTCCCTTTCATGCCTCCAGTGAGCAGAACCTAACAGGAAGTCAGCTGGCAAGGGGTTCTGGGAAAGGTGGTCTGCAGACCCTAGCCCCTGCAGCACTGAGCAGATTGCAGGAGCCTGGGCTGAGAGATAAGAAGTAAATAACCAGCTTTACAATCCATTGTTTTCCTCTGTCTGCTTTGGTAAGATTGTTCTTTTTGTCTTTGATTTTCTACATTTTCACCATGATGGTGTATTTCTTTTCTTTTATTTGGAGAAATTTGAGTTCTCAAATCTGTAAGATCAATATCTTCCAACCATTCTGGAAAATTCTCAACCATTTTCTTTTAGACTATTGCCTTTGTTCTCATCTCTTTCCTCTTCTTCTGGAACTGCAATTTTTTTTTTTAATGTTTATTTTTTAGTTTTCTGCGGACACAACATCTTTTGTTGGTATGTGGTGCTGAGGATCGAACCCGGGCCGCACACATGCCAGGCGAGCGCGCTACCGCTTGAACCACATCCCCAGCCCTGGAACTGCAATTTAAACATACATAAACTTGGGGCTGGGATTGTGGCTCAGCGGTAGAGCACTTGCCTACCAAGTAGCGGGACCCGGGTTTGATCCTCAGCATCACATAAAAATAAAGGCATTGTGTTATGTCCATCTACACCTAAAAATAAATATTTAAAGAAAAAACAAACATATGTAAACTCTTCTGATTGTGGCTTCTAGATCTGTAAACTTTTCTTTTGCAGACCCCATCCTTTTGTCTTTCCATACTTCTTTCTGGATCATTTCTTCTGACCCACCTTCCACTTCCCCAATTCATTCTTTAGCCATGTTGTTAAATCTGCCAGCTGGGGTGGCACACACCTGTGATCCCATCAACTCAGGATGCCAAGGCATGAAGATCGCAAGTTGGAGGCCAGCCTGGGAAATGAAGCAAGTCTCTGTATCAAAATAAAAAAATAAAAAGGGCTCAGGATGTAGCTCAGTGGTAGAGCATCCCTGGGTTCTACCCCCAGTACCTCAACAACAACAAAATCTATTAAATGAATCCACTGGGTTTATGATTCTAGCTTGTTTGATTGATTGTTGTACTGAGGAGTGAACCCAGAAGTGCTCTACCTCTGAGCTACATCCCCAGCACACCCCACCTTTTCTTTCTTTCTTTCTTTCTTTTTTTTTTAAATTCTGACACAGGGTCCATGAAATTCTTCAGGCTGGCCTGAATTTGTTATCCTCCTGCCTCTACTTTCTGAATAGCTGGGATTCTAGGAGTGCATGCCCATGCACGGCTTTAGTTAGAATTTTTATGGACTTCCTATTTATTCCCTTTTCACACATGCTATATAATTTTATGGAGTCTCCAGTTCCCTGTTGAAACTTTCAATTTTGACATTGAATCCAGGGATGCTTAACCACTGAGCCACATCCCCATCTTATTATTTTATTTTGAGACAGGGTCTAACTGAGTTGCTTAGGGCCTCACTAAGTTGGTGAAGCTGGCTTTGAACTCATGATCCTCCTGCCTCAGCCTCCTGAGCCACTGGATTACAGGCATGCTGGCACTAGCCCTGGTTTCTTGAACACTGTAAGTATGATTTTTCTTATACCCGGAGTTCCTCTGGCTCTATTATGGCTGACTGTTATTTCTGGTGGTTTTAACTGAAGGAATCTGACTACCTCATGTGTCTGCTTATTTTTGTGTGTTAAATATTGTGTTTGTGATATTATTTGTAGAAATAATTTGAAACAGGGTGATTTTGTTGCTCACTGAAGAGAAATTTTTTTTATTTCACTTTCCAGGCGCCTGGAGGGATTAACAAACTGAGATCATCTTGGTTCATACTTAGGGCATGATGTTTTCTGGAGCACCTGGATGACTCAAAGCCTTGACTACAGCTCAGGTAAGGACTAGTTTATTTTCAGTTCACTTTCATTCCTGGGGCACAGTCTTTTGGGAGCTGAGTCTAATGTGGGAGTTGGCTTCTCAGTCCCCAACTCTCTGCAGACCTGGACTCTTAATTTTTGTCTCTAGTCATATAAAGCCACCAAAAGTGATCCTGGCCTGTTCATCACTTCTTTATAGTTGCAAAAGCTTCCAGGGTCATCTCTTTGGAATTCTGTCTTCCCATGGACCTTAGCATAATAATTCCTCTCTAGGTTGGCACTTTGACTTCATTTGTCTTTTTTTTTTTTTAATTATTTTTTGAGTTGTAGATGGACACAATGCCTTTATTTTATTTTTTTATGTGGTGCTAAGGATCGAACCCAGTACCCGCCACATTCGAGGTGAGCACTCTGCCACTGAGCTACAACTCCAGCCCCTTCATTTGTCTTTTTCTTTTTTTGTGCTGGGGATTGAACCCAGGGGCTCTTTATCCCTGAGGTACATCCACCATCCCCTTTTTTACATTTCATTTTGAGACAGAGTTTGCTAAATTGCCCAGACTGGCCTCAAACTTGCAATCCTTCTGCCTCAGCCTCCCAAGTTGCTGGATTTACAATTGTCTGCTATCACACCCGGCTTGAATAAAATATTTTAATTAGAACTTTTGCCAATATTGATTTTTTTTGTCAATAAAGCATTTTTGAAATAAGTTGCATAAAGGCAAATTAATTTCTTCATAAAATTTAAATACAGCATTGTCAAATCATTTATTTTTGTATATTTTTGTGTTTAAACTTTATTTTGCCAAACTTATTCCCCTAGATATCACTTTTCTTTTCTTTTTTTTTAAAGAGAGAGTGAGAGAGAGAGAGAGGGAGAATTTTTAATATTTATTTTTTAGTTTTCTGCGGACACAACATCTTTGTTTGTATGTGGTGCTGAGTATCGAACCCAGGCCGCACTCATGCCAGGCGAGCGCGCTACTGCTTGAGCCACATCCCCAGCCCTAGATATCACTTTTCAACTTTAATTTTATTCAATCTAATATTTATTTATTTAATTTATTTAGGTGTGCTGGGGGTGGAACCCAGGGCCTTTGCATGTTGAGCAAGCCCTCCACCACTGAGCCACACCCCCAGCCCTAAACAAAATGGATTTTTTTGTTGCTGTTGAGTACCGGGGATTAAACTCAGGGGCACTGGTCCACAGAGCCATTATTTTGTATTTTATTAGAGACAGGGTCTCACTGAGCTGCTAAACACCTCATAGTTGCTGAGGCTGGCTTTGAACTCACAATCCTTCTGTCTCAGTCCCCCAAACTGCTGGGATTACAGTCATATGCAGCTTTTTTCTTTTTCTTTTTCTTTCTTTTTTTTTTATTTATTCCTTTTAGTTATACCTGACAGTAGAATATATTTTGACATATCATATATACATGAAGTATAACTTCTCATTCTTGTGGTTGTACACGATGTGCAGTTACACCGGTCATGTGTTCATATATGAACATAGGAAAGTTATGTCCGATTCATTCTACTATCTTTCCCATTCCCATCCTCCCTCCTTGCCCCTCCCAATGGATTTCTTTATTAATCAGTTTTCATTTCCTTTTTTTAAAATTTTTTTTTAGCTTTAGGTGGACACAATATCTTTATTTTATTTGTATGTGGTGCTGAGAATCGAACCCAGTGCCTCATGCATGCTAGGCGAGCGCACTACCACTCATTTCCTTTTTAAAAAATATTTTTGTAGGTGGACATAATACCTTTATTTCATTTATTTTTATGTGGTGTTGAGGATCAAACCCAGTGCCTCATGTGTGCTAGGCAAGCGCTCTGCCACTGAGCTATGGCCCCAGCCCAGTTTTCATTTCCTCTGCAGCCATGATTTTTACCAAGCCCAATCTCCTAGATCACGTTTTGCAGACCCAAATTTTGTCAAGAGGATTTGGCTTTTCTGGCACTTTTAAGGCAATTGGACATTTTTACCTAGTGCAGATTCTGCTATGGTTGTTTTTACTTTGTGATGTTGGGGTGAGCATTTTTATGCATTTCTTGGGGAATTCAGGAGAAATTTTTGAGCCAGTTTGTGAATAAGACAGAAATGAAGAGAGAGGAAGAAAAGAGTAGCTGAGGAAAACCAGGTATTGGGGTGGGGGCGGAAAGGTAACTGGGAGAAAGGAGAGGGGAGAGAGATGGAGGGGGCAGGCATGAGAGGGTGAATACAGCAGGTCAGTGTATCTTGGGAGTTAAAACGGGGTAAAACAAAAGGTCAGGGCTGGAAGGTTTGCCAGATATGAAACAGGTAAAGGAGAATGAGGAGCCAGCAACACCCTAGGAAGTAGCAGGCAGAAAAGGAGGAAATAGGTGTGAACTCCAACAGGTGTCCATCGGCTCACCCTATCCATCCTGCATCCTCAGCTCCCTCCTGGTGGGCGATTCCAGCTGGGACCTCAGATCGGTCTCCACCACATGCTGCTGCACCATCTTGGTTGTTATAGAGGTGTTGCCATCCTTGTTCCCAAAGCCAACCCAATGATAAGCGCATGGTTTTGAGAAAAAGGAAAAAGAAGGTTTATTTCTTTGCTAGCAAAGGAGAAACACAGGGGTCACCTGTGTCCCAGAAGCTGTGGTTCTGCCCATTAGCAGGAATAGGGGGATTTTAAAGAGGTGACTTAAAGGCTACATTCCACCTGTTCTCTGTGGGAGTTGTAATTCACTTGTGAATTTGGGACAGTCATTTCTGAGATCTTCTGGAGTCATCCCCAAAGTCTGGATGACTTCCTTCCTTTGGTGGGTGTGTACTCAGGGACAGATAACTCTGCCTAGGATGAGGAAGAAAGGTAATCCTGTTTCCCCTGAGATTAGGGAGGGGAGAGATTAGGTAGGAGCAGGGGGAGAGGAAGAGAAAGAAACTTGTACATTTTAAAACTAAGTTGCAGTGGCAGAGCAGCACTCTACAGAGGCAGAGGACGGAGGAAATGTGGGGTCGTGAAGCTTGGCTGTGCTAGGAGAAGAAGCCCCAAAAAAGGACAGGAACTTGCTCCTGTCCAGGTTCCCCGGGTCTCCTGCTTGTCCTTGAGTCCAGCCTGAGGGTCACCCTGCAGAGAATGAACCAGGGGTTGGAATCAGGGTGGAGACCTATATGATTCACCTGGATCTTTTGTCCTGGATGGCTGCACCTGTCTGGGTCAGGCTTTATAGAGAGCCAAGCTGACCTGACAGCTACCCTGGAGAGGCGTTGCTGCCCTGCCCTGCCCTGCTCTGCCCTCCATCCCACTCCGAGGTTTATGAACCCCCACTGCCCACCTTTTCAGTTCTGTGTCAAGTGCTCTCAATTTCATGGCCACATCATTTCTCCATTGGGGTGGCCAGATTTAACAAATGCAAATACCAGACAAATACAAATTGCGTTTTCAAATAAACAATCCCCCTCCCTGGCTCATACCAGAGATTGAACCCAGGGGTGCTCTACCACTGAGATATACCCCCAGCCCTTTATTTTTTGAGGCAGGCTCTCAGCTAAATTGCTCAGCCTGGCCTTGAATTTGAGATCCTCCAGCTTCTCAACTCATTAGCATTACAGGTATTGGGAACCTCATTCAGCCTCCAATTATTTTTTTCCTTTCTTTTCTTTTTTTTTTCCCTGGGGGGGCGGGTACCAGGGATTGAACCCAGGGTGCTTAACCACTGAGCCACATTCCCCAGCCCTTTTTTATGTTTTATTTAGAGACAGGGTCTCACTGAGTTGCTTAGCACCTCACTTTTGCTGAGACTGGCTTTGAACATGTTATCATCTTGCCTCAGCCTCCCAAGACGCTGGAGTTACAGGCATGTGCCACTGCGTCCGGCTGATTTTTCTTATTTTGAGTCAGGGTCTCACTCAGTTGCCCAGGGTGGCTTCCAACTCGTGATCCTCCTGCTTCAGCTTCCTGAGTTGCTGGGATTACAGGTGTGTGGCACCATGTTCAGCCTCTGATTGTTTTTTTAAATATTTTTAAATTATAGATGGACACAATACCTTTATTTTATTTGTTTATTTTTATGGGGTACTGGGGATCAAACCCAGTGCCTCACGCATGCTAGGCAAGTGCTTTACCACTGAGCCACAATTCCAACACATGATTATTTTTTAATACTGCTTAAATACTGTGTAATAGTGTTTAAGTAATTTTTTTTTAATGTTTATTTTTTAGTTATCGGCGGACACAACATCTTTGTTTTGTATGTGGTGCTGAGGATCGAACCCGGGCCGCACGCATGCCAGGCCAGCGCGCTACCGCTTGAGCCACATCCCCAGCCCCTTAAGTAATTTTTAATGCTGAAAAAATTTGTTGTTTACCTGAAATTCCAATTTAACTGGACGTTGCCTGTTTTGTCTGGCAATCTTACTCCTCCCTGCTCTCCCCTCCTTTTCATTCCCACCCATCCTCAGACTCACCTGTGAAACTGCAGCCCCCTCCCTGGGGTCTGGCTGCTCCTGCTCTGGCCCTTCCCAGGCCATTTTCCTCACTAGTCACCAGCGTTATCATCAACCTAATGCACATCTCTGATTTGGCCTTCAGCAGGTGCAAACTGAAGACTAGAATACGTATTTATTTGATGGAGGTGTTTTTACTAAGGAAATATAATTATAAAGACTGAATTTTGGGCTTTTCTATAAAACATCATGAAGCCAAGTATGGTGGTACATGCCTGTAATCCCAGTGACTCAGGAAGCTGAGGTGGGAGGGTGGCAAATTCAAGGCCAGCCTCAGCAATTTAATGAGGACTTAAGCAACTTAGTGAGATCCTGTCTTAAAGTGAAAAATAAAATGGTCTGGGGATATAGTTCAGTGGTAAAGCAACCTGGGTAAACCCCCCTCCCCCCAAAAAACGGACTAGAGATGTGGTTCAGTGATAAAAGCATCCCTGGGATCAATTCCTAGCACCAATCAAAACAAAACAAAACAAAAACAAACAAACAAACAAAAAAGATCTGAAGCTATGGCTGCTCCAAGCCTAATCTACCACTTAATCTACCCATCATTTCTCTGTCTACCAGGCCTCATGCATCTACCAAAACCTGTCCTTGCTGAGTAAGAGCTTCTGACACCTGACTGGCTGGGGTCAGAGTCCCCACCTTGATTGACATTCAAGGCTTTTCCTGCTCAGGTCACACCTCCTCTCTGCCACTTCTCTTCCCATTCCTTTCCTTTTGTCACCTTTTCTCCAAGCCCAGGGGCCACTGAATGGCTTCTTAGCAAGTCTCATGGGTCTGGCCTTTCTGTCTCTGCAATAGCCAGCCTCTCTGCTCCCTCTGCCCATGTGTTAGCCAGCTTTCTGTTGCTGTGACAAAAATACCTGAGATAATCAACTTAAAAGGAGGAAAGGTTTATTTGGGCTCATGGTTTCAGAGGTTTCAGTCCATGATTGTTTGGTCCTATTGCTAGAGGCAGTACATCATGGTGGAATTATGTGGTAGAGGAGGAATCTTCACCTCATGACATCTGGGAAGCAAAGAGAGACAGAGAGATGAGGGATCAGGGTTCCCCTTCTAGACCATGTCCTCAATCACCTAACTTCTTCCTACTAGGTTCAGTCTTCTAAATGCTTCACCACCTCCCAATAGCTCCACAGGCTGAGGACCAAGCATTCAATACAGAGCCCTTTGGAGGACATCCCATACCCAAACTATAGCAGCCCAGCAGGTAAGTCTCCTTCCTGTGGTCACAGCTGACTCATTCATCCAGGAGCAGGGCACATGTACATCCTCCAGGACACCCTTTCTGGTATCTCCCTAACGGAAATATGCTACCTGCTTCCCTACTCTGGCAAACCACAAAACCGTTTCTGTTCCTTACCAGCTTTTCTCAGAACGCAAGCACACACACGCCATGGCTGAGTGTCTGCTGGGTAGATGCTGGGGAAACAGGAAAATGACCTTTGGGAGACCTCAGGTGAGTGTAAAAAGTCTGTCATGGGGATGAGGGGCCCTGACCTGGGCTGCTGAGGACAGGTTCCCCAGCAGGGTTTTAGATGAGATCAGATGCATTTAGGGTGGAATGGCTGTAGACTCCCAGCAGGGGTTTAGAACACACTGTTACAAAATATGGCTCCTTGGCATTTGAGAAAAGGACACAGGCAGGAAGGCTTCTCTGACTTTCTCCCATCTTTTTCCCCGAAGAAGCCACCAAAGAATTTTCCAACTTTCCTTGTAAGTAGGTCATAATGAGATAGGAATTTAGGATCAAGAGAGAGAAATACTGACTCTTAAAGGAAATGCCCACGAGCCACTGAGATGAAGAAAACACAGTTGTAAATCTTGAGCACCCTTTTTGGCCTGTGCCCTTGTAAAAGGAGGGAAATACTCAAGCGCAGGAAAACATCGGGAAATTGTGCAGCTCCACCCTGGATCCACCTCCAGTCCAGCCCCTGAAATAGCATTTCTATAAATATTAGACCCCAAGCCCAAGTCAGCCAGCGTTCTCCCTTGAATGTGTATCTACCTTCCTAAATGAACCTCACCTCTGTCTATGCCTTTCTCTAGCTCATGCTGAAATTCTTTTCTGTCACATATGCCAAGAACCCAGCTGGTCCTGAATTAAACTCCCCCTCTCCTCTGGGAACCCCATGGACCCTTCTCCAGAGATGTCTCTTCTCCTGTGATCATAAGACCCCCATTGCAGAGGGGCCTCCCTACACCTGGAAAATAGGAATGCCTGTATCTCTGAAGAGACAGGAACCCAGAGAAGAACCTGAACAAATCCTGGACCCCAGCTTATTGCCATTAGATCACACCCTATTATCTTCCAATCACATTTCTCCACAACTGACTCCTTCCTTCAAATCACATTTCTCCACAACTGACCAGTCCTTCCTCCTTAGCATTCTTCTTCAGAAATATACTGGCTACTTGCAGAACTTTTCTCCTTCACTAGAAACTTAGCATAAGAAGGCATAGGGTCTTCATTTCAAATTCTCTCTTTGCCTTCTGTTTAGGGGGCCTCAGCATGAACCTTGAGGTGGGTACAGAAAAGACACCACCTTTTCTCCCCTACATTTTCCAGTGGGGAAGACTTTCTGTTGCCTCTAACTTAGAAGAGGAGTTTTCAGACTGAAAAATCAACCAAAGGCACTTAGTGTGTTGGGAGGTGACCCACCAGGAGCCCAAGGGAACCTTCCTTCCTGACAAAACAGGGAAGGGGCTGAAAGGGTGCAGAGCCAACTCAAACTTTTATAAAGGCCAAGATTGAACCCAGGGACACTCTACCACTGACTCACTTCCCCAGCTCTTTTTATTTATTTATTTTTTTATTTTGAGACAGGGTGTCACTAAGTTGTTGAGGCCAGCCTTGAATTTGTAATCCTCCTGCCTCAGCCTCATAGTCTCTGGGATTTCGGGCATGTGTCTCTGCTCCCAGCTGAAGCCTATATTTTTACAAGACTGTAAGACCCAGGAAGGCAGGGATTTGGGTCTGTTTTGTTTCCAGAATACACCTGGTAATAACTGACTAAGTGATATTATGATGTATATCAATGAATTAGAGAATGAAGTGTTACAGGAAGGTGGGTCAATCAGGCAACAGGGAGAGGGAGTGGACAGAGTAGGGAAGGAATTCTGAGGGCGTGGCAAGGGCAAGAAGGGTCCACCTGCAATGAAGTGGCTGGGCGCAAAGCCCAAAGGGGACCAGTGTAAGTAGACATTACAAACATACTCCACTACCTTTACTTTTAGGGTTAGGACTTCATCTTTGCAGTAACTATGTGATGCCTGGCATAGAATTATCTGTTGAACATTCAGTGAATGAATATTCTAGGCCTAATCAAAGACAGAAGCACTGGCCCTTGACTCCAGTGATCTAGTGGCTTCTCTGGAATTTCCTCCCGTGATAACTGTCATCATTCTTTTTCTTAAAGCCTCTCTTCCCAGTTTACTTAGAGCTTTTGCAGACATTGCCTCATCTGATCCTTATCACAACCCTGAGAAGTGGGACTCATTAGCTTCATTTTACAGATGTGGAAGCAGAGGCCAATAGAGGTTATGTGACTTCACCAGAGTAAAACACGGGTGAGAAAGAACTCAGACCTAGTGTTGCCAGAAGCTTAGTCCTTGTCCCTGATGCCAATCCAATAATGAGGATACGGTTTTGAGAAAAAGGAAAAAGAACATTTATTGCTTTGCCTCTGTCCCAGAGGCTGTGATTCTGCCCATTAGTAGGAACAGGGGGCTTTTAAAGAGGTGATTCAAAGGCTTCATTCTACCTGGTCTCTGATGGAGTTGTGATAATTCACTTGTGAATTTGTGAATTTGGGAGACAGTCATTTCTGAGATCTTCTGGTGACATCCCCAAAGTCTGGATGACTTCCTTCCTTTGGTGGGTGTGTACTTGGGGACAGGTAACTCTGCCTAGGATACAGAAGAAAGTTAATCCTGTTTCTCCTGAGATTAGGGAGGAGAGAGATTAGGTAGGAGCAGGGGGAGAGGAAAAGAAAGAAACTTGTCCATTTTAAAAATAAGTTGCAGGGCTGTATGATGCCTGGCATAGAATTATCTGTTAAATATTCAGTGAATGAATATTCTAGGTCTAATCAAAGATAGATGCACTGGCCCTTGACTCCAGCGATCTAGTGGAGTCTACTCAGCGGTAGAGTGCTTGCCTAGCATTGTGAGGCCCTGAGTTTGATCCTCAGCACCAAGTAAAAATAAATAAAATAAAGGTATTGTGTCCAACTACAATTTAAAAAAAAATAAAATAAGTTGCAGTGGCAGAGCAGCAACGGCTATAGTCAAAGCATAAAGTGGGTCACTGTTATATAAGCCTCAAAGGTCCCCACATCCAGGATCCTTTCTGCTTTATCATTTTTTAGGAAAGATATGATTAGAAAATGTGAAAGAGAGCACAAGACGACATGTAGGTTCACTGCTAAGTAGGGTATCAGTAGTTATAATGATAATAATTATTAACACACTCCCTGTGTGTTAGGTTCCTTTGTGTTAAGTTCTGTTCCAAGCATTCCAAGCACTTGATACGTCACCCCATTTATGCCTCTACTACTTTTTTTTTGAGGGGGGATTGGGGATTGAACCCTGTGATTAATCACTGAGCCATATCCACAGTCCTTTTTATTTTTTATTTTGAGATAGGATCTCACTAAATTGCTTAGGACCTCACCAAATTGCTGAATTTGGCCTTGAACTTGGGATTCTCCTGCATCAGCCCCCAGAGCCACAGGGATTATAGGCATGTGCACCAGGCTCGGCCCAGCTTTATTTTATTTTTTTCTTGAGACAGGGTCTTATTACTTTGCCCAGGCTGGTTTTGAACTTGTGCTTCTCCTGCCTCAGCCTCCTGAGTCACTAGGATAACAGGCGTATGCCTAAAATTTAAAGGGCTAAAATGGAGAAGGAATGCAGGTCTGTTCCGTAACACCCTCTCCAGTTCCATGTACTTTCTCAGAGATATAAACTAGGTGCATTAAAAACGCTTGGGGGCCCTGTTCAGTGGTGCAAGCCTGTGATCCCAGCTGCTCTAGAGGCTGAGGCAAGAGGCAAGTTCAAAGCCAGCCTCCTCAATGGCGAGGGTTTAAGCAACTCAGTGAGCCCCTGTTTCTAAATAAAATACAAAATAGGGCTGGGGATGTGGCTCAGTGGTTGAGTGCCCCTGAGTTCAGTCCCTGGTGCCCACCCCCTTCGAAAAAAAGGAAAACAAACAAACAAAAAAAAGGACTTTTGAGTCAGACCCATCAAGTCTTTTAAGCTTTCATGCCTCTATGTCTTCCTTGGGGAAGAATATTCCAAACAATGTTGTTAGGAGAATTGGTGCTTTGTAAGTAGTAGCTGGATGAAGGTGAGCACCCCCCACTCCTGAGAAGCCTCAAAGTTTCTGGATGGACTGGGGCTCAAAGCCTGGCTTCTGATCCTGCCCTGGTGGCTAGAAGTTTGAGGTCCCATTTCCATCTGTAAGAGGGAGAGGCATGTTCCAGGGGCCCTGATGGCCCCACCTGATACTGGACAAGCACCTGTATGGCTGAAGACTCTGTCCAAGAGGCACAGGTTGGAGTCCTGAAAAGTGAGCCTAGGAGAGCTCCTGGTGCTTCTGATGTAGGGATTTAGGATAAAGAGACAAAAATACTGAATCTTAAAGGAAATGCCCACAACCCATTGAGATGCAGAAAACACAGTTGTAAACCTTGGCCCATGCCCTTGTAAAATGAAGGAAATACGCAAGTGTAGGGAAAACTGGCATGAAACTGTGCAGCTCCACCCTGGATTCACCTCCAGTCCAGCCCCTGATGCAGCTCTTCTGTAAATACTGGACCCCTGGCCCAAGTCAGGGCTTCTCACCCTTGAGATAGCCCACATTTTCCCTTGAATGTGTATCTACCTTCCTAAATAAACCTCTGTCTGAGGTTTTGGCTGGCTGATGCTGAAATTCTGTTCTGTCACATATGCCAAGAACCCCCCTGGTCCTGAATTAAGAGTTCATCTTCTCCTCTGGGAATTCCTTGGACTGGTCTCAGGAGACATCCCTTCTCCCTTGAAACATACAAGATGGAAAAAGAAGAGAAACTCTCTGAGTTTACCTTCTGATATAATTTGGAATTTTTTTTTTCCTTTCTGTGCTGGGGATCTAACCCAGGACCTTGAGCATGCTAGGCAAGTACTCTACCACTGACCTACATACAGCTCAATATGGGTTTTGTTTTGTTTTTTGTACGAGGGGTGCAAAAACAACTGAGCCTCACCCCCAGCAACCTACCCCACTTGCCCCATTTTTATTTTGAGACAGAGTCTTGCTAAATTGCTTACGGCCTCAGTTGCCAAGGCTGGCTTTGAACTTGTGATCCTCTTGCCTCAGCCTCTTAAGACACTGGGATGATTACAGGCATGTGCATCTACACCTGGATTAATTCACACATCATAGAGGTATGTATGTATAGGAAAAAAAAAACACAGTATATGTAGGGCTCATTACTATCTACATTTTCAGGCATCTTCTAGAATTCTTGGAACATGTTCTCCACAAATAAGGGAGTCTCTTCTAATTTTGAATTCACTTCTCTGCCTTTACACCATTAAGGAGACTTGGTGGGGGGTGCTTCTGTGTGTTGAACCTGGAATCTGGGGCATGATAGGGAAGCACTGTGCTACTGAGCTACACTCAGCTCCAAAAGGACAATTGTAAGGCTAAAAGATACCTGCCCAGGGCTGGGGTTGTGGCTCAGAGGTAGAGCGCTTGCCTAGCATGCGTGAGGCACTGGGTTCGATCCTCAGCACCACATAAATATAAAATAAAGATATTGTGTCCACCTATAACTAAAAAATAAATATTTAACAAATAAAATAAAAGATACCTCCCAGAAGCCCTGACCTTTGCATTGTAGGTTTTTTGTAGACGTAATTTGGTGGTGTAACAAATATGAAACAGTTGTGTGTGCATTGTAGGAGGCATGTATTTTCATAATTTTAAAGAAAATTGTTACTTGCTTAAGGTATCTAAGACAGCTTATAGCAAAGCAAACATTTTAATAAGCAGATACACAGCAAATAACACCTCAGCATTTGGGACTCAAATGGGCTATGAAAACCACTGATACCTCACACCCAAGCCTGTTGTGGTTTACTGAGTGGATAGCACCCCCTACAGGGAAATGCTTGCCCCAGAGCAGACTTTTTTTTTTTTTTTTTTGTATGGGGATTGAACCCAGGGCCTCGCTCACACAAGCTGGGCAAGCATTCTTATCACTGAGCTACACCCTCAACCCTCAGATCAAACCTTTTCATAGCATGTGCATTACAAATTACAGTTATAGGACCAAAAACTGGATCCTCCTCCCCAGTGTTTTTTTTCATTTGCTTGTTTTGGGAGGTCTGGGGACCAAACCCAAGGCCTCACACTATGCTAGGCAAGCACTCTACCTCTGAACTATTCCCCTAGCTCCCCTACCTCCTGTTCTAATGGAGGAGATATCTATAATTATAGAGTCCATGTCTGATTTGGTGTTATGGTTTCTATAGACAGACAGAATAAGGTTGGAGTCCTGGTGTTGCCCTTTAATCTTCCAAAGATATCTTAACCTGATAGTGCCATGACTCCATCACGTGGAATAAATGAAAAGGTAATTCTCAGGCCGGGTGCAGTGGAGCACACCTGTAATCCCAGCGGCTCGGGAGGCTGAGGCAGGAGGATCATGAGTGCAAAGCCAGCCTCAGCAAAAAGCAAGGTGCTAAGCAACTCAGTGAGACCCTGTGTCTAAATAAAATCCAAAAAAGGGGGGCTCTTTTGTGGCTCAGTGGTCAAGTGCCTCCGAGTTCAATCCCTAGTACAAAAAAAAAAAAAAAAGGTAGCTCTCTGGATGGTGAGCAGGGTGCAATCAGATATGGGAAGAGGCTGTCCCAACATGACCAGGACAGGGAGGTCTGGGAGACTAGGGAGGGTTGCACATCAGAGAAAGCCATATGTGTGGGGGCAGGCCCTCTTCTCTGGACTCCTAGGTTAACTGTGTGATCATCAAGCAAGGTAGATCTGATTCCCAGGCTATGGCTGAAGAATGTTAAGCAGTTCAGTGACTTGAGTGTCTGAAGCTACTCAAGGGTCAAGGCAGGCCACATCTGTCTGATTCTGTCTTGTGGTTGATCCTGCCGGATCTTTGTGGTTTGTACAGAGGGATTTCAGCTGGGCTAGGCAGAAGGAGGATAGAACCTGCCAAATCTGTTTCTCTACTATGGGCCATTCCCTTTCCTTTCTTTGCCAGATCTCAACATCCTGTCTGGGAAAAAGGGACTTGGGTGGCTTTCTGGGATGACTTGGCAGCCTCCCAGTCCACTCACTGTGGACCCTCCACCTCCTTCACCCAGGGACATTTTTTAACAGATAACAGAGATGGTACTGGGCCAATCCCAGGGTTGGCACATGGTGTGTGCACATCTCACATCTGGGCCACCAAAGACTCTTGTCCAGAGTCTTGTCTTTTTTAGCTCAGTGACAGCAACTCTGCACCAAGATGCTGACCCTAAGTGGCCTTTGAACTTGAGTCCTGCTTAACTGTGGTTCTTGCAAATGAAATGTCTAAATTTTTGTTTTGTTTTTGCTACCGGCTGCTTGGAATTGCCACCTCACACACACATTTCTTATGTCTTTCTTTTTTCTGTGTGTGTGCGTGCGTGCACACGCGCGTGCATTTGTATGTGTATATAACTGGGGATTGAACCCAGGGCCTTACACATGCTAGGCAAATGCTCTACCACTCATCAACATCGCCAGTCCTTTTTGAATTTTATTTCAGACAGGATCTTGGCCTTGAACGTGGAATTCTCCTGCCTTGCTTCCTGAGAAGCTGGGATTCCAGCTATGTGCCACTACACCTGGTTTCTATTTTCCTCTTGACGTAAGGCAAACATTTATGGGATATTAGGAAACCTATCTGTAGCTGAGATAGTGAAGAATAAGTCTCCTTTGACTTCCTTTTTGGTGTTTGCACTTTTGATATAAAATAATGCACCTGCTGGAGCCTGCCTACGCATGTCCTAGAGCCTCTGGAAGCCTAGGACTGTTGGTGGCTGCTCAGGTCAGGATGAGGACCTGGTGTGGCTTTTCTGGGATGGCCACCTTGCAGCTTCCTGAGCCAGGCTATAGGTGAGCATGCTGCGGAAGGCCTAGGAAAATTCTGAGTGCCTTGGGAGTTTCAGCATCTGAACCATGAACTGGAGAGTGAACTTCCTGACAGAGAAGCTGGCCCACCAATGACCCAGATCAGCCTCAGGGAGACCCAGGTGCTGGAGGATGGTTTCCCCCAGAATACCTGGCACTTCCTCAGGAGCTGTTGCTGGCAGGGGAACCCAAGTGGCACAGGTGGTAGCTGAGGATGGCCACAGGGGAGCCGCTGGAGGGAACAGCTTCCAAGCTCTTGCTTGAGTGTCAGTGGAAACCTCGGCTGTGGGTCTCACGGGTGTGACCTTCCCAGACAGTGGACAGCGTCTGAGGTGATAATCTGTCTTCTCCATGTGACACTCATCTTGGGTCTCACATTGTGATGGTGACTCAGGAGTTCCACAGGGCTTCTTGTTTTCCCCTCTTACATGCACTTTTCTAAAGTCGGGAGATTTGGCTGTGTTAAGTTCCTAAGGCAGATATATGGGAGAATATATCTCCCATATATCTGGATGGAATATGCCTTTTCCATCTTCCCTTTTATCGAGAATGCGTTGCTCTTGAGGGAATCCTCCAGGAGCAAAGCAAAGAGCACAGGTAGAAAATTTCAGCCATATGATGGTAAATTTCAGTTGTTAACTTCACTGAATTGAGGGTTGGCTGGAAAATTGGTAAAATATACTTCCAGATGTGTTGTGTCTATGAGGGTGTTTTCAGAAATGATTGGCATATGGGTCAGTGAACTTGGAAAGACCTGCCCTGAATGTGGGTGGCAAAATCTAATAGGACGGGGGACAGAAAGAAGACAGGAAAAAACAGAAGGGGGACACTGGAATACTGGAGTTCACATGCTCAACTCTTCTTTTTTTTTTTTTTTTTTCAGTTGTAGATGGATGGAGCTGAGGATCAAAACCAGTGCCTCGAATGTGCTAGGCAAGCACTTTGCCACTGAGCTACAGCCCCAGCCCTTCAACCCTTCTGGAACGAGTGCATTTTCTGCTGTTGCTCTCACCTTGGACATCAGACTCCAGATTCTTCAGCCTTTGAACACGGGCTTGCACCAGAGGCTCCCCAGAGTGTTGCAGGACTCCAGGTGTGGACTGGGACTGCATCATTGGTCCCTCTTATTCTGAGGCTTCCACTTTCTTGGATTGGTTTCCCCAGCTTTCCAGCCTACAGATGACCACTATGGGACTATTCAGCCTCTGATCATGTGAGCAATCTAATAAATCCACCTCTAAGACACAGCATGGTGGCACATACCTATAGTGCCAACTACTTAGGAGTCTGAGATAGGAGGATCACTTGAGGCCAGTCTGGGCAACATAGCAAGGTACTGTCTCAAAAAAAAAAAATCACCCCATCTTATAATTATATGTAATCTGTTGGTTCTGTTCCCTAGAGAACCATGATTAATACAAAACACTAGGAAGTAGATCCTATCCTTGCTCTCAGAAGTCATCTAGGATGGGTCCTTAGCAGGAAGACATGCCTCGGAAGAGTGGCAGAGGGTAAATGATGATAAGTCCTTTGCCCTTGAACTGGCCTATCCTTTGAGACCACCAGTGTTTTCAAGACACATTGGCTGAAATTCATACATAACATTTTCTCTCACAATCTACGTGTTATTCAAAAATTGAGTCAAACCTATTTCTTTTTCTTTTTCTTTTTTTTTTTTTTTTGAGATTCCTAAACAGGGCTCCAAGCTATCCTCCTGCCTCAGCTTCCCAAGTAGCTGATGCTGCAAGTGCAGACCACAACCTTGGCTTCAAATCTGTCTTATCAAATTACATTATGAAATATTTATCATTACTCTTATGTCATCTTATAAAATGTTCAATATTTTCTATTTATTATAACAAAGAATATGCCAATTCCAGATTAATATTTTTAGTAGTAAATACCTCAATAAATGATGCTCTCTATATTTAAGAAATATTTATAGCTATTCATTCAAATACAAAGTTTTAAAAAGGGCTGATGGTGTAGTTCAGTCATGGAGCAAACCTGTGTTCAATCCCCAATATGGCAAAATAAGCAAATGAACCATCTTGCTGCTTGAGGAGGGTGCTGGTGTTCTCTCTCTGAGATAAAGAAAAGAGGCTTTGTATGGTAAGTCAGTTTCCCAAGGATATGAGAGTTTTTTTCAGAACTGGGACTTGCTGCGCTGGTCTTGCTTGAAAGGTTGAAGCTACATGAGCTAGAAAAGCTAGACTTCTTTTATTATGTTGGGAAAACAACCTATAGGATTGTTACTTCTGGGATTCCTGAGATATATATGGTGATCTGTTTGATGGTGTCCCTAGATTCCTTAGAATCTGTTCACTTTTCTTCAATTGTTTTTCTTTCTGTTCCTCATACACAATAGTTTGTATTCAAACTATTCAAATTCATATATTCTTTCCCCTGCTAATTTAAATGTTCCTTTGAATTCTTTGAAATCTTTTCTGGCAGTTTTCATTTCAGTTAGTGTACTTTTCAATTCTGGAATTTTTTTGTTTTCCTTTTTGGATTTTTCTTTTTTGATATCTCCATTTTGTTTGTATATAATTTTCTTAACTTTCTCCTTTAGTTCCTCCTTCTTCCCAGGGGCGCTTTACCACTGAGTCACATTCCCAAACCTTTTTTTTTAATCTTGTGACAGGGTCTCACTAAGTTGCTTAGGGCCCTCTAAATCACTGAGGCTGGTCTCCTGCCTTAGCTTTCAAGTCACTGGGATTATAAGGTTGTACCACTGTACTTCACTTCTCCTTTATTCTTTTTTTTTTAATTTTTTTTTTAATATTTATTTATTTTTTTTAGTTTTTGGCAGATACAACATCTTTGTTTGTATGTGGTGCTGAGGATCGAACCCGGACGGCACGCATGCCAGGCGAGCGCGCTACCGCTTGAGCCACAACCCCAGCCCCTCCTTTATTCTTTTTTGTTGTTGTTGTTGTTACCAGGGATTGAACCCAGGGGCATTAACCACTGAGCCACATCCTCAGCTCTTTTTATATTTTATTTTAAGACAGATTTTCATTAAGTTGCTTAGTACCTTGCTAAGTTGCTGAGGCTGGCTTTGAACTTGTGATCCTCCTGCCTCAGCCTCCCAAGTCACTAGGATTATAAGCATGCACCACTGCACCCAGCTCCTGTAGTTCTTTAAGCATATTTAAGACAGTTGTATATCCAGGCATGGTGGCACATGCCTATAATCCCAACTTTGAACTTGGGAGACTGAGGCAGAAGGTTTGCAAGTTCGAGGCCAGCTGGGCAACTTAGCAAGATCCTATCTTAAAATAAAGGGCTGTGGGCATAGTTCAGTGGTATGGCACCTCTGGGTCCAATTCCTAGTAATGCAGAAATAAAGAATTTTAATAAATAAATAAAGCCCTTGTTTAGTAAATCTGCCATCAGGTCTCTTTCAGGGCCAGTTTCTGTTGGTTTACCTTTTCTTTAGGGCTCACCATACTCTACTATTTTTTTGTATGCCTTGTGATTTTATTGTCAAAAACTAGATTTTTTTTTTCCTAATAATGTGGAAATTCTGGAAAAATACTCCCCTCCTTCCTCACAGTTTGATGTTTTCTGATTTCATTTTTTTTCTTTTCTTCTGTTTTTTTTTTTTTTTTCATTTTTTTTCTTAGTTAAAAAAAATTCTTAAAGAAATGGGGTCAGCCTGGGTTGACCCCAAACTCCTGAGCTCAAGGGATCCTCCTGTCTTAGGTTTTTGTTTTCTTTTTATTCTAATAGGCTGTTTCTGGGCCAGCAATCAGGCTGACATATAACATTAAGGTCTTCTCAGATCTTTTCTGAGCCTGTGTCTTTCCCTGGTCATGCATAATGAATCTAATTACCCCACATACACAGTTGCTTTTGAACATTCTAGTCTTCACTGTCTGGTCTCAAACGGGGAAAAAGAGGAAAATAAAGGGGGGACAAAAGGCCCTGACATTTTAATTCCCTTGGAAGTCACTTTAGCAGAGGGGTAGGTAGCTTCAATAATGGTGAGCAAATGGCAGTGGCTACTCTCTTTGTCTACCCTTCTGTGATCAGCAGCAGCAATCAGAGCACAGATCCCCAGAATTTGCCAGACAGGGTCCTTTTTGCCCACCCTGGCTCCACAGGAACACCTGCATGGCTGAGCATCACAGGGATGAGGAACAGGGAACTGCTTCTGGATTAAGAGCTAAAATTGACCAAAATTAGCCACATCTGGCCATCTGAACTTCCCCCTGGGAGTTGGAAGACTTCAAAAGAATCTAGAGTTTCAAAACTCTGGCAGAGGGATTCTGCCAATGCAGTTGTTGTCTAGATGCGGGAGACAGATTCCTTGTGCTTCCTTCCATCCTTCCAGCATCCTTTATCCCCATTCTCTCTCTCTTTTTTTTTTTTTTTCGTTTTTCTTTTTTTGGTATTGGGGCTGGAACCCAAGGCCTAGTGTTTACTATACAAGTGCTATGCTCCAATCCCCAACTTTTTGTTTTATTTTTATATTTGGTGTTGGGAATTGAACCCAGGGGTGCTTAACCACTGAGCCACATCCCCAGCCACCCCCCCTGGCTTTTTTTCTTTTTTAAAAATATTTTTTTAATTATCAATGGACCTTTATTTTATTTATTGATATGCAGTGCTGAGAATCAAACCCAGTGCCTCACACATGCTAGGTTGTGGCTCTACCACTGAGCCACAACCCCAGCCCTCCATAGACCTTTTTTATATTTTATTTTGAGACAGGGTCTCACTAAGTTACTGAGAGCCTCCCTAAGTTTCTGAGGCTGGCTTTCAACTAACAGTCTTTCTAACTCACCCTCCCAAGCTGCTGGGATTATAGGCATGTGCCAGCTCCAATTTTTTATTTTGAAAAATTTCAACAAGTAAGTTTTATTTATTTATTTGGAACTGGAGATTGAATTCAGGGGCACTCAACCATTGTTGAGTCCTATTTTGTATTTAGAGACAGGGTCTCACTGAATTGCTTAGTGACTCGCTGGAGTTGCTGAGGCTGGCTTTGAACCCGTGATCCTCCCATCTCAGCCTCCGGAGCTGCTGGGATTATAGGTGTGTGTCACCACACCCAGCTTGAGTAAGTTTCATTTAAAAAAAAAAAAAGAGGGGCTGGGGACGTGGCTCAAGCGGTAGCGCGCTCGCCTGGCATGCGTGCGGCCCGGGTTCGATCCTCAGCACCACGTACAAACAATGATGTTGTGTCTGCCAATAACTAAAAAATAAATATTAAAAATTCTCTCTCTCTCTCTCTCTTTAAAAAAAAAAGAAATTGTCTGGAAGATATGAAAGATGCTCATATATTAACATGTTTTGGGAGGAAGCTTTGTCAATAAAGAGACAAATGTTTAATTCTCAATACAAACTGACCTAGTGCAAAGTTTGGAGGTGATCAACTTTTTCTCCTATGATAGTATGGACTGGGTGGCAAATCTGTGTTTTAGAAACTTCTTTTGGGGTACATGTGTGATACTGAGGATTGAGCTCGGGGGCACTCAACCACCAAGCTGTATCCCTAGACCTTTTTCTTGTTTTTGTTTTTATTTTGAAACAATGTCTTGCTAAATTGCTTGGGACCTCACTGAGTTACTGAGGTTGATCCTCCTGCCTCAGCCTCCCAAGTTGCTAGGATTACAGCCATGAGCCTCCATGCCCAGCCCCAATTTATTTTTTATTTTAAGATGTGATCTTGCTAAATTGACCAGGCTGACCTTGATTTGCCTCTTTTGCCTCAGCCTCTCTAGTAGCTGGGATTATAGGCATGCACCACTGCTCCCAGACTCATCCTGCCACTTCTAGAACAAGACATTTCTTTGTCTGTATTTGTTTGAGGCGTGAGTGGGAGAGGAACAGGAATGACCACGAGTCCTCACGCAGACCACCAGATCTCCTTCCACATCCCTGAAGGAGGGAGAGCCCCCGGGGTGACAGATGGGTGTGGCCAGGCTCCTCTGTTCTTAGATCCTAGCTTCTTCTGAAGGGCCATCAGGCTGTGCCAGAAAGGACGGAATGATTAAGTTTGGTGTATTTCAAAAGGAACTGCCCCAACATTTCAGGAGGCTGAAAGGGAGAGTGGCCCAGCTTCTTGTCTTAATCATCCTGGGAATGAGGACAGGGCTGTAGATGCCTTGAGAGACAGACGCTGGAGCCAGTTCAGACTACACTTCTGTTCCAGCAATCCCTTAGGGATTGGTGAAGGACTGGTTGAAGCAGATACTGCATGTGGAACCATCATCTGCTGGAAGCTCGTGCTGGCTGGTGACATAATCCCCTATAGGAGTGTGTGTGGCCTTACGTGGCAGAGCTGGGCAGCCATGGTCTGATTTATGAACAAAAGCATGTTTTGGGCAGTAGCAAGACAGGAGAATTCTAGCACCCCATGGCAGGTGGAAGGGTTGTATATGCTAAGCTAGACAAAGGTGGGCTATGGCTGATGGGAATGCACCTGGACTTTCTCAAAACTATTACTGTGGCCTGAGAGATGTAACTCTGGTAGAGTGCTTGTCTAGCATGAAAGAGGCCCCGAATTCACCAGAAAATAAACAACAGCAACACAACCAAACTGCCTGGGCATCAGTGGCTGGCTGGCATAATACACTTGGATCTTTTCTTTCTCTCTTTGTCTTTTTTTGCATGCCAGGGTCACCAGGTTGGCAAAATGGTGGTTATGACCAACATGGTTATAGTCATAGTCAAGTTAGATACCTGCACAGGCAGACCATTATCACACCCTGGTGTCCGGCACATGAATATGTTTTTATAGTTGATTGGTTCAAATCAGGATCCACCTAAAGTGAACACATCGCACTGGTGGATGAGTCTCTTTGGTTCCTCTCAATCAAGCCTGTGTGAGCCTGGAAGTTTGGGGATGATACAGAAGGGAGAGAGGGCTCCCCTGCACTACAGTGTAATATTGGACTCCCAGCAGGTGGTGCTGGAGTTCTTCTGATGTAGTTTGAAAATAGTTCATTTAAAAAAGAAAATAATTCCATTGCTTACATCCTGAGTATAGATAATCTGATAATTTGATCCTTAGGATAACCCCAGGAAGTAGCAATTATACCCATCTTACAGATGAAGAAACCGAGTCTAAGGGAGGCTTTCCAAATAAGTACAAGTCAGGATTTCACTTACCTCATTTCACCCACATCTGTTTCTCCTCTGGAATTTCTGTTGACTCAGGACAAGCAGCGGTACCAGATGCCACCACCAACAGAACCAACAGAGCTCTCTTGCTGACGGATCCCATTCAGGGAACTTTTGAGAGTGAAAAGAGGAATACATTTGACGGTGTTGTGACAACAGGAGTAAACTGCACACACCAGGTGTCACAGAGCAGTGATGAGAAGCATTTTCTCTAACTGCTTCAGATATCCACAGCCCTCTTCATTTCTGTATGGGTTCATCTTGACATGACTGCAGCCATTTTGAGCCATAACCACCATGGCTGTCCTCAAAGAAACTCCAGTTGGTTTTTGCTGAATAGTTTTCCAGCCAATTAAAAATAGACAAAGCCAATGGAGTGTCATTTAGAGCTTTACAACTAGACCCTGGCACCAGGATTGTGCCTGACTTTGATATCAACTTAGGATAAACCAAGTATATTCTGTCTGGGAT